ACTCATCGTCGAACTTATTTACTTTTTTTGTTTGTTCGTTTTAAATAAAATATACGAGATATTGTATTGTCGTTGCGGTTGAAAACTTTTACCAATTCGAGAGATTTCCAATGTTGATAATAATCAAATATTTTTGTCGGAAACATAATTTTTGAATAGTTTCAAAATATTTCGTATATTGGTAGAAACTTTTGATCGCTGTGTATATATATATACATATATAAAAATCGTATTTGATTTTATCGTAGGATCGTAGTATCTTGAAATATACCTGAATCATCGCAAGATATTATTACATCATTTCCGTGCAAGACTAGTCGTTTCCGACTAATTCGATCGAAGCTTAAGTAAATTAAGAGAGATCGGTTGTTTTAATATTGCTAAAAAGAAAAAAAAACAAAAAAGAAAAAAAAAAATTAAGAAATCGCAAAATTTCACTGTCACAAAATATTAACCTAAATTAGTGTATCAAAATATATAACGAAATTAAAGCTTATCGTATCGAACAATATTATACAAATTTTCTTTTACGCAATTATTATTATAATAATTATAAATATTATTGCCTACTAAACCCCCTCCCCCATTATCAAATTGATTATTACCTGTATTCAAAATTAAAAATTAACAACAACAAAAAAAAATCAAACTTTTGTTAAAGACGGTACGAACAGGTATACTTCCTAAACGGTAAATAGATAGTGTTAAAGAAGCTGTCGGAGATCAAAATCCGGATGTTAAGGAAAGATAGATGGAAAGGGGGATGTGAGGGGGGAGACAGAGGGGTGAAGGGGAGGATAATCGATGAGAAACATCGCAAATCGAGAGTACGTAGGCTCGCGACGAACTTCCTCCTTTCAAACTGGTACACGTAGACACCATAGATGCATTCACGGTATGTACAGTCATGTAGATAGGAGAAATGCACACACACACACACACACACACACACAAAATCATACACACATACATACATACATACATACATAAATCCATACGTACATACATATTCGTATATACATGGATGTATGTATAGAGAGATACATTCATGAATAGATACAAATCATACAAACATATATGGGGATGTATGTATAGATACATTCATGAATAGATAAATATACATACAAACATATATGGNCATACAAACATATATGGGGATGTATGTATAGATACATTCATGAATAGATAAATATACATACAAACATATATGGAGATGTATGTATAGATACATTCATGAATAGATAGAAATACATACAAACATACAGATACACACACAGAGGGAGATAAGAGAAGTTTATTTGTCGATGCAATGGGTGGTTTCTTGTTAAATGGTTAAGTTACTCCGCCTTTCCGTACGTCCTTGGCGAACTGCCGGTGCACTCTGAGAAAGGCGATGAAAATGGTGCCAGTCACGTGTACCATGTCGGTGCGAACGCTCGCACCACGTCTCTTTCCCTCGGCAGATCTCGAATATTTCGAGAATCGAAGTCGAAGTCGAAGGGAGACGACGATCAACCAAACGGAATCGATCAACAAGTTCCCGTATGATCTTTATCGTCTTCTTTAAAATCAATGGTATTATATACGGGGAACCATAAAGTGATTCATAAGTGATCGTAAGCGAATCTCTTTCTTTTTAAAAATTTATTAAAAATTAAAAAAAAAAAACATTTCTTTTCTTTTTTTCTTTTAATGGTCAAAGCAATTATTAAACTTAATCGAGATGAAATAAATTAACGATATTTCGATAATCCTACAGTGATTCATAAAGTGAACCTAAACGAGAGAACGTTTTGAAAAATGTATTTAAAAAAGAAAAAATCGAAATTAAATTAACGAGACGAAATTAATGATATTTCGATAATCCTACAGTGATTCATAAAGTGAACTTAAACGAGAGAACGTTTTGAAGAATTTATTAAAGAAGAAAAAAACATTTCTTTTTCTTTTTCTTTTAATGGTCAAAGCACAATTATTAAGCTAATCGCGAAATGAAATAAATTAACGAGAAGGAATCAACGATATTTCGATAATTCTAAAGTGATTCATGAGTGAACCTAAACGAACGTTTTTAAATATTCAAAAAATTATATGAAAGTGATTCACTTATTTTGAGAAAGAAAATTTTGTTAAAAATTCTCTGTACATTGGAGATTTAAAAAAAATAAACTGCGTTAAAAATTTTTTAGCGTTTTAAAATTAGTTACGCGAAAAATACGGCAAAGATTAAAAAGTTGTTGTTGTGTCCGTACAGAGAAATCGCCATATATATTTCATCTCTCTCTTTCTCTTTCTCTTGTTCTATGTTAAAACTTCCGTATTTCTGTGAAGAAGGAAGTGCATTACATTGGGTGACATTTAAATCACCAGGGGATTTACAAACGCATGCAACAAATCTTGATTTAAGGATATCGCGTTGTTTTTATTCTTATTGTTGTTTCTTTTTTCTTTCTTTTTTTTTTCTTCTTTCGCCTCGATTAAAATACTAGGAAAAAAAAAAGAAAGTTAATTGTTATGAATTTTCTTCATTAGGATTTAGAATCGTTTTAAAAGTGGGGATGAGATACTCTTAAAGAGATACATTCGAGAAAAGAAATGATTTGATTCGTTTAATTCCGCGTTAGATAAAAATTTATGTTGAATAGAGGAAGAACGTGTTTTGTGCATGTGTGTGTGTGTGTATTAATGTTAATAACAAAAAAAATATATATATGCGTTAATTGCTTCCAGTGGATCAACAAATAATCATTTCTAGAATATATCGCATACTATGATAATAATACGAGTGATAATATTGGCATTATTTTTGTTATCATTAAAATATATCGTAAAGGATATACATTTTCGAAAAGTTATATATTTAAAAGAACAAATTAATCGATTAGTTAATAACGTGCTAGATTACAATTTGTGCCGCGTGAAAGGAGGAAAGAGAGAGAAAGTGTGTGCGTGTGTGTGTGTATTAAAAAGAAAAAAAGAAAAATAATAATAATTATAGAACGTGATAACATGATTTTCTTCTGTTGGAACTAGGAAAATAATTCTTAAAATATATCACGACTGATTTATCTATCTCATACTATGATAATAATAATACGAATGGTAATTATCATAATCATTTGTGTTATAATTAAAAATATATCGTAAAGAATATTCTCTTCCAAAAAAAAAAATAAAAAACAAAACAAAAAATAAAAAAATATTCTAAAGAAGAAATAATTCAATTAGAGGTTCTGCGTTAGATAAAAATTCCTGAAAGATAAGTGTGTGTGTTAAGGGAAAAAAAAAGAAGAAAAAAAAAAAAAAGAAATATTTTAGAAGATACGCGGAATGCGATTATGCGTAAGTTTGCTTCAACATAATGAGAGATGCATTCCATCATATATATAATATATGAATAAAATATATTTCTATATATACGTATAAACCTAAACATAGAATATCGTGACTGGTTTATCTATCATAATGGATGTTGCAGTTTATACGATAATGCAACCGGAGAAAACGTGGAATCGTGCACTCGTCGATTAGGTTCGTTATTCACTCTACAAAGTTGATTACGTTCAAAAGTTGCTTGACTACGCGCTCGGTCTTGTTGTTGACCCGTGAACATTTGTCGACTAAAGAAACCAAACGAAACGAAACGAAACGAAAGAACGGAAAGGACGGAAAGAACGGAAAGAACGTTCACCGATTGCCGTTTGCGAGCGAAAGGCGTGGCGGCAAAAAGCTCACGCTATTTTCTGTTATATATCCTTTTATATTCTTTACGATTCTCTAAATCCAATTGTAAATTGATCGATCTCGACATACAAATTCTGAATTTAACCTTTTCAAATGTTGAATATACTTTTAATCGAAGTATTTTATAGTATAGGAAAGTGGAATTATTTTTTTTTTTATTAATGTGCGACTGTTTTTCCATTGATTGATATTATTATTATTATTTTTTTTTAAATCAGATTTAATAATAAATTATAATATATTTAATAATTGAAATATTATTTTTTTAGTATTTTATAGTATATGAACGCGGAATTATTTATTATTAATATATGTGCGATTGTTTGTTTTTCCATTGATTGATATTATTATTATTATTTTTTTTTTTAAATCACACAGATTTAATAATAAATTATAATATATTTAATAATTGAATTATTATTATTTTTTTATCTTATATAATTGTTTCATTGTAACAAGATTCAAAAGCGATTATCAATATGCAAATGAATATTATGAAGTTATATTACATGCATATCGACAAACACGTATACATAATACGCGTGCCGACTACTTTTACTAAACGCATATATGCGTCCATAGCAAGTTAAAAAGGGTTAATTCGTTCGGATTCAAAAGAATTTCAATAGTTTCGGTACCTTCTATCGAAAACCGAACGAGACTTTCGCGTTTTCGCATCGAACCGTGACGTTAGTTCTAGATCGTTGGGGATTCTAATATCTTTTAAGAATTAGTTGTTACTTTAATTAACGAACCACCTTCTTATTCGAGATCTTAACGACCCGGAAACGTCGTGTCGAGAACTAAAACTTGGTGAAATTAAATGCAAATTTATATATATATGTATACGTGTATAATTGTAATTACGTAAAGATTTACCATCGTGAGAATACGTGTTAATGTTACACGATATTTTCCAATAACATTTCTATAACCTAATTTTATTGATTTATTTTTTCATCATATAAAAAATTTAAAAGACGAGTCAAATTTTTCTCCTTTAATTAATGTATCTCCTTTAAACAATGTATAATCAATACTTTTTCAAATTTTATTTAAAAAAAAAGAAAAAAAAGAAAAAAAAGAAAAAAAAGAAAAAAAAGAAAAAAAAAAAAGAAAAAGAAATATAAATAATAAATTATGAAAGAAAAAGGAAACGTAGAAAGTTAGAATATCGCAATTATAATAAGATAAATCGTATGTGAGAGAAATATAATATGTTTTTTATAATGTATTTTTAATATTTTCCATTTCAGATGACTCGGCAGGCAAATTTCTCGAGACGATTAGTGCTGATCGTAGCGTTGTTAATTGCATGCCTGACTATCGTCCAATCGACGAAGGCAAATGAAGAAAAAAAAGAAAAAGAAGAAGAAAATAAGGATGTTTTTGGTCGTAGAGAAAGAAGACACCTAGGTGGTGTCGTTAAAGTTTTGTCCGATCGAGAACAATTGATTAATAATACACTGGACGTACGAGTGTTCAACAACAACAACAACAACAAGTCACCGAGTAGTAAAAGTAATGAGATAAGCTCGGAAAGCGGAAGGAAAGTGTCTCATAGACTGATGGGAGGTCATTTGCGAGATGACAGGGGGAAAAAAAGGAAAGATGAGAAATTATTGGCAGAGGATATGTTAGGATCCTCGGCTGGTAACGGAAAGGAAACGAAAAATTCGCGTGGCGATGACGAGGACGAAAAGAAGACGTTGTCTCAACAGGTCAAGGAGGGCAAGTACGGTCTGATACAAAATGAAATTTACGACGATGATAAACCGAGGCGACCGCCGGGTATAATAAGTTATCTCGATAATCCCGAAGTTCCGAAGGACACAATCGAAAATCTCGGTGGTCTTGACGAGGACGAAATTTGGTTTGCGGAAAATCACGTGCTCGTTTTAAAGGGAGGTAATTTTGTGGCTCGAGGTCAGACCAATCGGGGACGACCGATTATTCAATCCGAAGATAAGGACAAAGAAAATTGGAAACCTATAGATAATTATCAAGCACCAAGAAGACAAGTTAAAATACCGGACAAACCTAAAGTACCGCCACCGTTTCCGGTACAACTTAAGGACGGAGGACCGATACAGATTATTGGAATTAATGGTAGCAAGGAGATCGAAAATGCTACATTGGATCGTACCATGGATCCTTTTTATGGGAAGGGTGTTTTACCTGGAGGAGATGGTCCATTCTTTACGGTAACTTCGAATGGTACTATCGTCGTACCGGATTTTCATTATTCTGATAATTCTACGAACGAGGATGTTCAAGGACCGAGCAACGTTCCAGATGATAAATCCGAAGAACCACCTGTTTTTTATCATGCTATACCACCTGGTGCTGTTTTCGTACCACCACCGAGTAATCGTACCGATTACGATGACGAAGATCAATCGATATATTATCCGCCACCGTATAGCTTCTATTATCCGCAGGATAATACAACGGCAGTACCACCTGGTCCTCTAGTACCTGGTATCATTTTACCACCCCCGCCAGATTTCTTTTCGCCGCTCGAAGAAAAGAAAACAACGACGACAAAGAAATATACTAAACGTCCTAATACATCGATGCTTCCTAAATCAAGACCGACTTATCTTCCACCGAGAAAACTAACAACGAGGAAACAATGGGAAAGTACAACAACAACGGCCGTGCCAAAAATAAGTACAACCCAATTGCCACGTACGAGAACTTACCTTCCAACGATGTTGAAAAATTTAACGGGAAAATCGGTAACTAGAATTCGTCCGAGTACTATACCTTACGTAGAAGTTACGACGAATAAACCATCTGCTCAGAGAAATACTAAATATTATACTAATAATCCATTGATTGAAAATAGAATGACAGAAACTAATACGGAAAATAATATTCAAACGTGGTCCAGATCTACCAATGGCAAATCTATCCCAATAGTGACTTATTTTGCTACAACGACCCCCTCTTCCATCGAAGAATCCGTGGAAGTGACACCGGCTTCTATAAAAAATGTTATAACGACCGTTCAACCAGGACAACAATTACCCAACAGAGCATCTTATTATTTCTATGAAGAATCTGACGATGGTAATGTCGCTAGTACCGTTGAATCCGCCCCAGTTTATTATCAAACTACTACGGAATCTCCTTATTACAAAGTCGAACCACTTTCTCAACAACCAAGAGAAGAGAAACCGTATTACAGCATTGAAACCAATCCACCGAAGGACACTTCCAGAGATTACAACGTTAAACTGATTGATACTTTAGTTGATAATCCTCAAGTCTATCAATATCGAGGTTCTGAAGATTCCTCAACATCAACGAAATATGATTCAACCTTGAACAGAGGCCAAAATGAACAAATGTTGGGAGATCGAGGTCAGATTTATTATCAAACGATAACATCTCGGCCTCCTGTAACGTTACAACGATCCTATTACACGACCCCAACGTCTCCAACTTATTACAAAGAATCGGAAGAACGAATAGAAATTGACAATAGACAAAACACCAAATCTAAGCCAATTTATCAATACAGTTTCGAAATAGCTGATTATTCTAAAAGAGGTCAAAACCAAAGGCCTTATTATACCCAACAAAACGAACAAGTCACGTATGATTACCAGACTGTTAAATCTAACAATCATCGATACGATTATGACACCGATCAAAGGGACACCGAACGAAAGAACAATCTACCCTACAAAATTCAAAGTCCCATTTATCCTTCCACGACTGGTCGGCCAATAATAAACGTTACACCTAATCCTCAACACGCATATTTCACGCGACAAGACGAAAGGCTTTTGGACGATGTTACGAAAGAATACTTTACGATATTTGGCAAGAAAATTAATGAAAAGGATACACCTAGTACTACACCAATTTACAACAAGGCCAGCCAGGTCACCGAGAAACCCGATTACGAGGTTAATACTTACGTATCAAATAATTACAATGTACCACCGGAACCTATTTATACAGATCCTATATATTACGATCAAGAAGTACAACCACCACCACCAAATTTAGCAAGCGATACGCGCGTTAATTATCGTCGACCATTACCACCTATTAATCCGGACAGCGAATTGGTCGAGGTGTTCGATCCTAAACAACGTGGTCAACCTCGACAACGATTGCAACAACAGCCACAACGATTACAACAACAACAACAACAACAACAACAACAACAACAACAGCAACAACGACTACAACAACCATCAATTCCCCTTCACGGTGATATACTCGTTAATTATCGTAATCCACGTCCACCGATTAATCCTGACGCCGAATTTATTAATCCCATTTCTATTTCCAATCAAGGTTCCGTTAATTCCGACAAAAGTAGCGCGTACTTTGCTTATAGATTTCCAGGGGACGGTGGTCATTTTTATTTTCTTACACCTCAAGCTATTAGACAAGAACAAACTAGAGAAGATATCGGTGATGATGATGATGACGATGGTGGTGGTGGTGGTGGTTATTATTACCCAAAACCGAGAGGTCCGAAATTTTTACGACGTAGAAGAAATCCTGGCAACTCATAAAAAGAGCGTTTCCTCTTATCGTTAGTTAGAAATTCCCTATAGGCAGTTGTCCGATGCCATATGTATTAGAATGTTATTATTATAGTGCCGAGAAGATATGTGTGTCATAAATGTAAGATCGAAACTTTCGGAATATTTATTTGATGTATTTGTAAATATCAGCATGTATTTAAATATTAAGATTAGTTTGTAGTCATATATTAAAATGTTAAGTTATGAAATTTATTTAACACAATTTTCCTTAATTCCATTAATTTTGGACACGGATTAACGAGAATCTATTACCCGTGCGAAACTGAGTACATTTAATGCTGATAAATTTGGCCAAAATGTACTTGCGCATTGTCTGTGATTGCAATGTATACTTATAATACGTATTTAGTTCGTTGTATGTGTACGTTACGATAATTAATTAACGGGACAGATAGTTTTTCCTTGATATCATAATTACTATTATACGAGCTATTCAATAATTGTTGGCTTTTCTTTTTTAAATATATATATATATATATATACGTACTATGTCGTTATTGTATTTATTTTATTATAACTTTTATGATTACGAATATCAATTATCAAGATAAAACTTCCACGGTAGTTTTGATGACTTTTATTCTGAGCTCCCTTTAATAGACTGTATATAGTATACTAATTTTACTTCTTCAAAAATGTCTAACTAAATAATTTATTATGTCTATGTATGTGTAAGAAATATTTAGAAATCTTATGAATTATTCTAATGAATATAGAAATTTATGTGTTTATACAAACGTAAGATAATAAAAATGTTTGCATAGTTGTAATATTCTACAAATATGTATATGTATATTCCCATAGAAAGAATATATCTATTCAAATGTTATGTGCATACCGAATTCTAAGAAGCTCAAAATAGAAATAACTCTAGATTGCGAACAGCCATGTTATGTCATTTGAAATTTGTTCGCTTATAATTAATGATGGATAATAAAATATTATAAAACACTTACCCGTGTCGATTTCTTGCGTTTGCGTTGGATCTGGTAGAGGGTAGTCGTGTAGACGTAGATAAACCTCCATCGCGCATTTTGCAGCCTTGAAGTAAAATGGATGAGCACGGAGAACGTCTTCTAACCTTAGGAGACCGATGTAAGATCTTAATGTCATTTTTCGCATGCAATATGTGTGAAAGTCGAATTGATCTTCTATAATTTCTGAGAAGTGCTGTAAGCAATAAGAAATAATTAGCTTAAGAATTGTACTGACCCATATAAGATTGAATACAGTGGATGATTGGTTAACAAATATAATCCATTCGAAGACAATATTTGCTATTCATACTGTTCGTTAGCCAATCATCCATTGTACCGTTCTAATATTATAATGGTCTTCTGCATAACTAACCCTATCTACTTCATGACATTTTTTTAAAGCTTCTCCATATTTTCCAAGACGTTGGTATGCGTGTGCTGCTTCCATTTGAATCCACATGCATTGCATTTCGTTGAGATTTTCCATCGCTAATACTCCTTCCCTAGTAAACTTCCCACACGTCTCTTCCGCTTCTTTAATTAAATTCGCACGTAGCATATATTTGGCACATTTAGAATTAATATATCGATCGGCAGTATCTAATCCTTGAGCTTCATCTAACCACTTATATGCTTCCTGAACATTACCGGCATGCTAGAAATACAAATGTTTCTCATAGTATATAAACACATTTTATTATATAATATTTTCTATTATGTATTTCCCCTTAAATAATACAGTATTATCTTTTATTTACCTTAAATATTCGTCCTTTGGTAACAAAAAGTTCTATTAATGTAGGTGTGTGATCTATGGCAGCATCGATTTCATCCAACGCTTTCTCTGTAAGACCAAGATAATCATAATGTTGAGCTAAATAATAATAAGTCCATAGTAATGCCGAGGCTGGTTCTCGTTGATTATCTTTCTCTTGATTACTAAAATGACCATGAGCTTTTAACGCTTCCTTGTATTCCAGAACAAGAGATTGAATAACTTCTACTTTTTGTTTGTCATTGTACAACGAACGAAGATTAACAAATAGCGGTGGTACACCTTTGTGAAGACCTAAATAAACACATATTAACATTATGAAAACATTACAAATAAAAAATAGATGTGCATTTGTTAAGTGATCTTATAATAAGAAAAAGAAATATGAAAATTGTTCAAAGTTCTTTACCTCGTCGTAAATATAGATCAACTAATGATTTAAATTGATCCCCGGAAGCGTAATTTAATTGTAAACGCCTTGGCGCTAATGCACGAGGAAACAAATCTTCGTATCTTTGGAGCATAACCAACGTATCTTCTGGCGTTTCGTGTCTTTCTGCCTCTGCTAATTTAGCATAATACGTAGTATTTTCAGGATTGATATTTAATAATTCTTTATAAACTTGTACCGCTTCTGCATACTGGTGAAGTTGAAGTCTAAGTTTGCCTAAACGTAAGAATATTAAATTAGTATAAAAAAAAAGAAGACATATTAGTTTTATAAGTGATATCACAGAGCAACAAGAAATAACTTACCGTATGTTTCTTTTAAAGTTACTCTATCGCAAATTTGATATCGATATTTGTCAAGATGTTTTAAAGCTTGTTCATTGTCACCGGATTCTTGAATGACCATATTTTGATATAACAGCAACTCACTATGTTCGTAATCATAACAAATCTGCACATTTAATTAAAACTTTTAATATGTTACATCAAATTTGTCAACACTTTTGCAAATAAAAGAATTAAAATGAAATACGTGATGTTATGTTATAAATATCCAAAGAGCATATATAATATGAAAATGTAATATATTAATATTATAAATATATTAAATGATGAAGAGAGAAAATAAAAAAGTATAATTAAATAAATTTATATAAGACTTAAATGGTTCCGTAATGTTTTATTTAGAAGTACATACCATAGGCGAATTGCGAAATGTATCTAGAATTTTAAGCGCCATCTCATAGTCTTTTAATAAATGGTAAGATATAGCGAAACCAATCCAAGAAGCACGCTGGGTTGGGCGCAACATAAACAATTGATATCTAGTATCCTACAAACAATAATTAAATTACCAAATAAAATTAATCATTTTCATGAATGAGTTTTTAAATTTGTATGTAATAAAATAAGAATTTTATATATTTTATCGATACTCACTCTATATCCTTCCAAATCCCTCATTTGAATTTGAAGTAATGATAAATCTCTAAGAATCTGTATGTTGTCCTTATCCCATTTAAGAGCATTTCTGTAACACTTGATAGCCTCATCATATTTCTTATCGGAACGCTGTAACAGTCCATAAACATGCCAGCATACATGTGATTGCAAACTGTTCCTGAGACCTCGTCTAACATGATCATATGCTTCTTCTTTGCGACCTAAGCAGTTCAACGTAAGACCTTTCATCGCTAAAGTTTCTCCATGTTCGCTGAACTTTGGATTAGATAAGATTTGCTTCGCAAACTTCAACCCATTTTTGTATTGTTTGTGTTCATAACATCTCTGAAAGATAAATGCAATAATAAATCATAAGTTGAAAATGAGAAGCGATTTTTGGATTCGTTAATAATATTTGGTTAAATTTGATAATAAATAAAAACTGTCATTGAGGATGCAATGGATAGAATTCGAATAAATTAATAAGATTACAGAAATGTGTATAGTTAAACGTTGCCATTGAGTATTTTCGAGGTTTTCGAAGAATGCTTCATCATTAGAGCATGATGAGTATACCTATTAGCCGGAGAGAGTGGGGTCCAAAACAGAGTATTTTTAATGGTTGTTACTCACCAAAATTCGCTTAAACAAGGCATTTTCTTTGGGTGGCAAAGGATTGCTAGAGGACATTTTTGTATAAATACAAAAATAGAGGGCCTTATCCACCCGGTAAACTTAATTTTCACCACAAAACCTCGTGGCCACAAACGAAGAAGTCGATCTTCGATCACGTGATCATCTGAGAAACTGTTGTTCCGCCGGAAGTTCTACGTTCACGGTGCCGCACATTTCAACAAGTGTTGTAATATTCGTATGGTCAGAAAAGAAAGAAAACAAACTAATCAAAACAATGTATGTTAAAAATCATTACAGATATACTTCAATAAAGTCATTTACCTTACGACAAATACAACTATTATTCTTGTTAATCTAAAAGATGGGAATTAATAGAGAAAATCTACAAAAATTGAATTTGATTTAAAAATAATTTTAGATTTCAGGGAAAATGTTGTTGCAGCGCCACCTATACGATTTATTAAATTCTTCAAATATGTTTCACGATTTAATACTTACTTATTTTTAAGAACAATTTGGGTAATATAATTGAAAAATATTAATTATTCACTAATATATACTGACTTGACTAAATCCACGAGAAAGGTAGATTAAGGTTAATTTATTCATAGTTGTCTGGAGATTTGCATACAATAGTTTATATTTCAAATACACTCATTGGCTGATTCTTTCCTATCGAATCTTTAAGGACGAATCACACAATCGCAAAATAATATTTTTATTAGCGTGGTTTAAATATAAGACGATAAATAAGGCATCTTGTTTTTATTAATTATGATTATTATACTATAAAAAATTTTATTACTAAAAAAACGAAAAAAATTCTTTATCATTTTTGTGTCGCGTATAACATTACCGACGTATCATTAAAAACGTAATCCAGTCGGTAGGTTTGTCTGGTAACACTACTTTATTTTATTTAAATAATTTAATTAAAAATTATATATGATACAATAAAAAACAAAATTTTAATATAAAAATTTATTTGAAGAAATTATTAATTAATTAAAATGCTTGTTAATTTTAAATAATTTAAATTGATTATTATTACCTGTGTTATTTTTTACCCTTAAGATGGCAGCACTAGTTACTTCAGTCTAATTATACCGATCGTTTATGGTGTTAAAACGTTCATAAAAGTAATAACACAAAAAAGTTGGCATAGAACCTTTTTTATCTACCCAGCATCATTTTTGTTACCACTGGGGCCACCATTGGACGATAGTAGGTACTTAACGCGATGACGGTACAATATTATCAAAGAATACACTATTCTTTGATAGTATATGATAGTATATGATATATTCTCTCTCTCTCTCTCTCTCTCTCTCTCTCTCTCTCTCTCTCTCTCTCTCTCTCTTTGATAGTATAAATAGTATAGTTCTATTGTAATAAAATTTTAAATAAATATATTAAATTTTTAATGTATAAACATGTGTGTGCCTTCAGAAATGCATTTATACGTATATTTTAAAATGAAACAATTTAAGCCACTCAACTAAAAAAGAATCCAGAAGGTTTGATGATAAATCCAACGATGATCACCTGTAACAAGAAGAAAACTATATTAGTCATACAGACAAGTGATACAATAGCCTGACATATAAATCGTCCAATTCGCAGGTGCACTTTTCAATTGAATTCTATATTAGTTATTTTGATCAAATCTCTATTCATCGTTGCAAGGAAATTAAATTTAAACGCGTGATTTTGCATTTACATAAAATAAATAAAAATAAAGAAATAGAGCAAAAGTAAAAATACTTAGTTACTAAAAAAAATTATATCTATTAATTATTGTGAAATACTTTTAAACTGCATTATATAGAAAAGAAAAATTGTAAATTTAATAAAATACGATTACAGTGAAAAATTTTAAAGACGAAACAAGAAAAGAGAAATTACTGTAATATTTACCGAACGTTATTTAAGCTTGAAAATTTAATAATACGAAAATTGTAATATTTTTGACTCTAATTAAACACATATGCATCTTTTAGACGATATAGACACGAATATGGTGTCCCAAAGAGATGGAATGGTCCATCATTTTCAATTACAACTACAAATTAATGACGAGCAAAAAAGTAATATAATAAAATATAAGAAATATGACTAGAGAGCTATTCTCAAAAGATTCAACAATGCTGTCGAACTTGAAAATAATTCAT